CAGGGTAGATTTCAATTAATTCAATGATGTATTCTAATCTCAAGAGAATCGGTCTATCTAAGAAAGAGGTTTAAGCATATCCTCTTCCTCGCATTCCTCATTCAAGATCGAGGATTCAATAAAGATAAATCTCTCAAGATTTTCTTCCTCACGCACATCATTCGAGATTGAGGAAACAATGAAGATAGATGCTCACAACATTTCACATGGTAGTTACAACCTTCCTGGATTAAAAGAGAAATATCAAAAGTAAAATTTCAAAAAAAAAAAAGAGTCCTCTAAGTCAAAAAATAAGAAGGCAAAAGACCTAAAAAAATTTAACTTAGGCAAAAGTTAGGGCATCCCAATGGACTGAAAAATTCAAAAGAATCGGTCCATGCAAAAAATAGGGATTAAAAAGAAAAAAAGAAAAACGGAAAATAAGCTTATGGCTACCACCTCAAAATTACCAGTGTTTCTCATCAAGTGCTTAAACCGCATCAATGCTTCTACTCACTATCATGACAAAAAAAATTCTCTTCTAGACTGAATGCATCATTTGCGTTAATTGACCTTAGGAATGGATACTATCAAGAGTAATGGGGTGGGTTAAATAAAATTCGAGCCTTTTATCCTTTGTTTCTTAAACGGTGAACCAAACCACATCACAACCTTCAAAAGTCTTAATTGAAGCTAAGTTTAATATGAAAGCATACTCAACAAAATTTGTGTTAAACTGACTCCGAATGTTTGTTAATTGATAATCATATTGCTTTTCACACCTTCATCAATACTTATCCATTGTACACCATACCTATTTTCCATAACAAATTTTCTATTTCAAAAACTTGCATGTGCATCACGTTAGAATTACTTTTCGAAAAGGTACAATTTTATGCGCAAATCAATACTTAGCATCAAGGAAATTTCAACAATGGTCCGATCAAAGGCGAACCATTTCAAGAAGCTCCTAAATAGGGGAAGAGCACCTACGGATCCTACGGCTTCAGGGGAACAAATCCTAATGATCATTTGAAGATCCTATTGACTAGGGGCAGTCAATTTTAAGGTCTAGTCAACCAGAAGAACCTCTCCAAGCACCAACTAATTGGGGGCATACCTTTCAAAGATCTGAATTATGGGGAAGTCCATATCAAGGTCATATCACGACATAATGACACCAAAAGACACTTCTTCAAACCCTAAAGATTAGGGCATACCTTTCAAAATTCAAATGTTGGGGAAAACTATGGAAAGACTCAGAAACCAACTCAAAATGGTTTAGTAGGGCAAATCATTCCAAGAGCCAACTAATCAAGGACGAATCTATCCAAGGGGCAGACCCATCAAAATAATGGGTTCATTCATCTCAAGTGTTTAAGTACGATCAAACTATTTCAAAACTCATATTGAGATAAATCTCTTCAAATACCTAACAAACATAGGTAAGACAAGCCACAACAGGGCCATCTCTCATAATCCTCAGAGAATCCCTTACCTACACAAACAATCTTCGAGTTCGAAATAAGTATTAGAAAGTCATGCTAGCATAACACCCTACCATCATGTGACAATAAACATTGTTACATAAGAAACCTATCAATCTTAACCATCCACGACCCACCATGGAGGAACCAGTCAAAAACATCCAACTCACCATAAATCATTTTCATGCATTCATTAGGTCCCTTCACTCTAGTATCAAGCCATGTATATCATCTCATTCATCTAGCATATTATCATATCATGAATCTAACATTTACAACAAAACAAAAAGAGAAAAAAGTCTAATCCCCCTTGACATTTATCTCCAGAAAGGCCCGACCTTACTTGGCATCTAGCATCTACATATTCAAGGCCCAATCTTCAGCAACATAGTCTGAGATCAACACATAGCATGCAATAATCATCGCATTGAAAAAAACAACAAAAAAACATTTAACTTTCATGCATAGTCAAGTGTGACACTCTCTTTCGTTCTCCGGGACTGATTTACTACGCCATTCCATCGTTTTAAAGCCCAGTTCCTGTATGGAAAATCATTTTTAAAGTCCAGTTCCCATTTGGTAAATCATTTCAAAGCCCAGTTCTTGTCTGGAAAATCATTTCAAAATCCAGTTCCTGTCAGGCAAATCATTTCAAAATCTAGTTCATGTCTGGTAGACTATCTTTAAGTTAATAGTTCAAATATCATGTGCATTACATTGATCAATCATCACATAAGTCATTGTCATTCATTAATCATATCACTTCACTCATAACATTATCATCAAGAATACATTACAAACATATACCATACATTAACACATACATCCATACAACATAAATACAACATCATACATGGAAATCATATCAAAGGCATTATCATCGAATTACTAAAGCACGTATAATCATATCCAACATATCAAACAAGCCCTCAAATACTTTGAAAAATCTCAGGCCTATTATCTAGCTAAGTCACCTATGTAAATTACAAATTCAAATCTTTGCATTATTTGCACTATAGCAATTGATACCTTGGTTAAGAACAGACATAACATGTAGAGGTACCAAAATCAAAGTTACACTAGGAAACTTACCTATGATTCACATCCATAGCCTAGACATCATCACCCTCCGAGAATTACTATTAAAACTTTTCAAATATCAAATTCAAACTTTCCAATTTCAAACCAAACCCGCATTATTTACCCCCTAGGTTGTGGTAAATATGCAAAATCTACGATATAACTTGTTATATTAGTCCCTGAGCGGTAATAAGTTATTTTCAAACTTTCGATTCTACCTGATCAATCCCGCAACAAAGATAGAGTTGGTATCCGCATTATTTACCCCTACACTGTCATAAATATGCAAAATTTGCGATATAACTTGTTATATTAGTCCTCGAGCGGTAATAAGTTTCGACTCTATTTGATCAGTCCCACGACAAAATAGAGTTGATACCCACATTGTTTATTCCCTAGGTTGTGGTAAATATGCAAAATATGCGATATAACTTGATATATTAGTCCCCGACCAGTAATAAGTTATTCAAACTTTCAACACCATCTGATCAGTCCCGTGGCAAAGATGGAGTTGATACCTGCATTACTTATCCCCTAGATAGCAGTAAGCATGCAAAAGCTCCAATATAGTTTTTTACGTTCGTCCCGAAGCAGTAACAAGCTATCACAAGCATTCTTTGTCATATTTATCTGGTCATTCTCTAAGCAAAGATACATATGTTAATCCATATTTCACGCATTGATGAGTTATATGCGTCATTCTTGCCCTCTTTTCACATTTTTACTTGCTTTATTTACTTTCAAACTACTTTTCAAATGTCTTCAAGAGCCTTCAGTCAAATCATTGGATATTCCATTATTTAGTTACCCTCCGATCTGAATGTGTGATAACTTCGTATTCTCACACCCTTTAATCAAAGAGTAATTAAATAGGGGTAGCTGTCATACTCTAAATTTGCCCGCTCTATTTTTAACAGTCAAATTAATTTTAAACTTGGGTTTTATAATTTTTTTGATTTATTTTACAAACATTAAACATTAATTTATTTTGCTTACTTAAAAATATATAATAGTTTACTTTAAATTATTTGTATTTCTTACATAGCAAATATTTTCCCACCATTCACATGCTCTCAAATGTCATTTAATTTTTAATAAATCTTGTCATAATTGGAAGGAGGTAAGACTTGTAAGTATAAGGTCATAAGTTCAAATCTCACCTGTTCTAATTTTTAATATTTTTCTTTTATTTGTTAATAACTTTATTTCCATTTTAAATTGTTTTCAAAATCACAAAAATTATATTTTTTATTATTTAATTACTATTTTCATTTTCCTTTTTTATTATATTTTAAAATATTATTCTTTTATTAAAATCATTATTTTATACAAAAAATAGTCAAAAACTCAATAAATAAATAAAATCTTTTTCACTTCCAATCCTTTTCAAATCGTATTTTGCATAGAATCACAAATAGATCCAAATTCTTAATCTTGCCGACCAAGATAAAATTAGATAATATCTGATTTGGACCTCAATATTGAATATTATTTGATTCGATTTGTTTCCTTTTTTGATGTCTTAACCTAATTTCTCACACTATAAATATGACTCTTTTCATCCTAATTATTCATCCACAACATTTACAAAATCAACCATTCACCTTCTCACTATTTTTCAACTTTTTTCATACATTCATATCAACATCATCCATAAAATTCACAATTTTCAAATCTTACACACTTCATTCACAAATTCATTTTTGCAATTTCTTTTTAAAACTTATTTTCAAAATGATTTGTTATTTTTTTTCTTTGGCCAATGATTAAATCTTCGATATGAGGCCACCCTTCTATTTTCAACTTTTCTCTCTTTAATTTTAATTTGTTTGTTTAAACTAGATGATGATCTATTTCTAATGGTATTGTTTTTTGTCAATTTTATTTTACTATCATACTATCATATTCGAGGCTAACCTTTCTCACAACAAAACCTATCCGCTCTACGCACCTTTTGCACAAGTTTACATCCATACATGTAATATTTTCCCCAACTCAGTATTTTCTTCTTGAATCAAATCCTATTTTTTTTCAAAGAAACCATATATTTTAGTCAATTGTCATATAAATTTTGCTCTGTCTTCTCACGCACATACACACAGAAACTACCAATTTTTACAAAACAGAATCACCTGCAACCAATTTTCCTTATGATAAAAAAAAAACCAAACCGAACAATATTATTTTTCAAAACTAATTATCACAACAGAATTTCCCTCTCACATGTTTTGTAGCAACAAATTCACAGTACAACGTCACTATATTTGTGCATAGTTTATACAAACAGTTACCACATCGAATGTTCCTAAGCAAGACCTCTGTACAGGACTCTAAACGGCTCTCTCAATGAAGCTACTACAACATTCCATAACCACCGTGTACCACTAGTGATGTTGCAATGTCGCCGGAAAAATCCTCATCTCATACTCCACCATCCCCTCCGTGAAATCACCGTCACATGGAAACGACAACCACTACGCGCAACTGCGACCTCTGTGTGCATAAGCAGAACACAACCGTCTCGCCTCCAGCCTCCTCGCGTTTTTGGTCACCCTCCGGACACCATCCCAAGTCATCACCTCTGCTGGCCACACATGGATAAGAACAACCCGCTGTGAAGACCTCCGTGAACGCACGTTCCCTTCCCGTTTTCACAGCGACATGTAAGTTTTTGTTTCCTTTCTTTTTTATATTTTGAATGGGCATAGATCTGTGTGATGAAGTTTTAAGAACACGAAAGAAGAAGCAGGAAGGAAAATTGAGTTTTTGATTTTGTTTGGTCATTATCGCGCTAGTGTTTTTTTTTAATTGAAAGCAATGCCACACGTCACCATTTCATTGGATGATATGAAGTAACTGAAAAAATTAAAAAAAAACTCTCTTAAGAATGTATCAGCGGCGCCTCCCCTTGCTTCAGGTAAGTGCTCACTACTTTTTATTTAATTTGATTATCAATTAGTGTTTTTTGTGATACGGGCTATTGGGCCCTACTTCTACTCTTTTGCTTGTTGCTAATTCTACACCCCAGTTTTCTAGTAGCACTTCCAAGAATATAAATTAGTTAGTTTATTTTATTATTCTAATTTAATTACTAATCTAATTTAATTAGTTAATTATTTTAATTACTTATGTTTAATTTTAATTAGATTAAACTTATTCAAAAAATTATAAAAATGTTAAAAACAAATCCTTGTACATAATTCCAAACGTTTTTTCAAATCAAATTAATTCAACATTTTTGCAAATAATAGGATCGGTGGATTTTACATCCACCACGTCCTCGAATGATTGATTGGTTGACTTACCAACTAATTATTCAAATCAAAACATTAAAATTCACTAACAAATCAAATCAATTTCTATGCCCCGCACGATTTAATTCTAATAAAGATCAACTCTTTATCAACCAAAATCAATTTCTTCGCCCTGCGCAATTTAATTCTAATAAAGATCAACTCTTTATCAACCAACCAAACATATTATGGACTACGTAGGATTCTGATTTCTCTCATCTTTTGATGAAGATACGTAGGCACACAATTGCAAGACTAATGTAAGTCCACTAATAATATTTTCCAATTTTACCCCTACATATATATTCCTCCTTTCGTAATTAAATGAAATATTAAAAGCATATTAAAGTAGATTAGAAATAAACAAGAAACAAGACAAACACATATATTATTCCTAAGATTAGAAAAGGTTCCCCTTGAGTACAAGGGAGGTGAAGGGTGCCTAACACGTTGCCCTTGCTTAATTGACTCCCGAACCCTTAACTTACACTACTACAAATAACGCTTCTAACATCGGACGCGAAATATGTTTTATCTTGGAGGTAGATGCGACGTAAATAAGGTCGTCATAGTAAGTAAAAAATTATCACCTCAGTCTTTAAAACACCGAGGTACAAGTTTATTAGCGCATGGATTCGAACCCCAACAACAACCAATTTTATTATTTTCAAAACTAACATCTCTTTTATCTCAGTTTATTAAATAAACGAGGGATATTATTGTACCAAAAAATTCCCCTCCCTTTTTATTCAAGATATCTCTTCATGCTCCTAGGGTTTTCATTTGCTCAAAGTTACTCAAGAATTGAACAGACAAATTCTCCTTCTAAGCAATGGATCTACAACTAGGGTTTCACTTTTATCAAGGAAGATTGGGTTTCTAAGGCCTCAAGTGGATTTCACGGGTTCTTATATGTATATAAGTATCCTCATGCCAAGTTTCAAGCCTTCCATAACAAGTTTTCCCAGTCAATGGCTTAGATGACTGAAAATCAACTATATTAGATAAAAAGTCAACTGTGGTCAACATACAGTCAAACCTCAAGATTTTTGGTCAACATCAACATTTTGAAGTCATATTTATCATTTGATCAAGGGTTGATCATGATTCATTAAGAAAACTCAAGATTCATCAAAAGTCAAGAGTTACCAAATTAGGGTTTTCTTAAGGAGAAGTCAACTGAACTTTGACCAAGCACAACTTTCACATGCTTCATCAGATTTTTCTTAACCAAAGCTCATGTTGAAGGAAATTCAATTCTCTAGAACTTTGTCTCTCTAAGCTCAAATAAAAAAATGCTTCATTTGAGAGATATGAGCCAAAACATTATAAGTCATTTCAAAAGTAAAAAAAAAAGATACTTTTTGTCAAGGCAATTTACATCAAGAAAAATCTTCAACTATAAAAGTAATGAAAATAGAGATTGTATAGGATATCTCGATCTTTCTAAAAAGTCCAAGATCACCATCATATGATGAAAATTGAGAGAGTTATGATTGGTGCAAGTTGGGAAATTTTGAGCAAATGCATGAAACCAAAAGTGACCAAACTTGAAGTTTTGGGCTATTGGGCTTGTGCTTCAAGGTCCATGCGTGTTTTATAACCTATTGTGAACCTCAGAATTCATACATACACCCCTTGGGTTTTGATTTTATTTATTTTTGATTTTGATTAATTTAAAATTCAAAATAAATGAAATAAAACAAGGCTTCTTACAAAGGTCCAAGCCCACAAACATTTGAACTAATTCATGCTTATATATTCTCATCAATTCAGACATCAAGCCACACAAACCCTTGAATCCAGATGCCTTTCCAAACTTCCAAAAGTTTCCAAGAACTAGGGCAACTCGAAACCCTAGCTTGCAACCACTTTCACAACAAACCAATCGTTCCATTCAATTCCTAAAGCATTGTAGGGTAAGAATGGATCATTTGTGAAGGTCCAAAAGGGATGAAACCCTCGAACATGCTTCACCGGTTTCTCATGTTGCATGATTTTTACTTTTTTTTTTCATTGCGTTTTAATACCTACTAACCTTGCTAATGTGTTTATGAGGTATCAACATGCAGGAAAAATCCATCGTATGAGCCCTAAGATGGATGAACCATGAACTACCATGTTCATACCGATCCATGCTATTTTTGTTATATCTCACAAACCAGTGCGATTCAGCCCAAAATAACACTTCCATTGAATTTGCAGGGCCTGATTTAGAGGGGTAGGGTACCCTTGGATCACTAACTATGTTTATTTTGCAGGAACCTGGAAAAGACTCACTGGTGAAGATGACCGGAGCTAGGGCTCTGGCGCCTCTCCGGTCTAGTTAATTAGTTTTATGTTATATTTATTTTGTTTCAGTTATATCACCGGATGTATGGTCACCCTAGTGGCAAAGGCGCGCGCGTTAAGGCATTACTATACTAGGGCGTGGATTCGATCCCTGCCTTTTGGTGTTTTGTGGTTTTTCTTACATTTTTCATTGTTTGAAATTTTTTAACATACAAAGCACGCTGATTCTATTCCTTTGACACCAAAGTACGCTTGGCGCAGTGGCAAGGTGTTACACGGTGGCAGAACCGACTGCTTATATACTACTGGTTTTTGCATTTTTTGTTCGCAAATGTGCGGTAAGCAAGAGTTGCCACCGTCTTTTCTTTTATCCAACAAAGGAAAGGGTGAAAAGAACAGAAAATACATTTTTGAGATGTTTCTGAGTAATGGGGGTAGATTATGGAAAGGGAATGTATTAACACCCTTTCCATCCGTGGTTTTCCACGAGCTCTTAGTGGTTTGCTCATTTTTTAAATGCTTTTGTGCTTTGTGTGTTTAAAAAATGTTTGGAAAATGCCTTAGTGCGGCGATTTGCTTTGTGTTTAACTCTTGTATCGGTCCTCAAGAGTGTTAACAATGCAAATATTTTGAAATTGTTTTTGAAAAGTAGTTTTCTGTGTAAGTGCAAAATGTTTGAGCAAACTTCTAAAAGCTATCTACTTTTTGTACTCGAAAAGGTCGTTCTTTTCCTCTTTTCCTTTAGACAATGTTATCCTACTATTAATGAGTAGGTAGCCTTATCGTTGGATGTTTTGAGGGACAATTCTAAAGGGACATTACAGTCACGAAGGCAATTATGGAGATGCTTTAGCAATTCTGTTTTTAGGGACTAGATCATTTACCGAAAGGCAACACTGTAAGGGTCATCAAGGGACTATGATCTTTTGATTTTGCGGGTCTTTGCTAAAACATTCCTGCCTCATGACTGTTTTTTAAAGGAAACCAAAGTGGGCGTACCTTAGAGGCGTATATGTGCAAGTGTGTTGTGTTCAGTTATTTTTTGTCTTTTTGTTAAGTTTGATAGCGTTTGATTATTAGTCTTATCATACAAGCCTAATTACTAGCAGTTAATATGAAAAGTAGTAAAATGCAGAATATAGAGGTCCTACGCTATTACAAGGCTTCGGGGAGGGGATTTACATTATACAAGAATAATGGGGAATAAAGCAGTAAATATCCTAATTTTATCTATTACATCTGGTAAACAAATACAATAATAGTAAAATATGGAATTAAATAAACGCGCGCAAAGCAAAAGAAAATCTTTTTGTTGTTTTTGGTATAAAAGAAAATAAGACCTAAGTCTATTTAATTTTAATTTTAAGAAAAGGGATGTTAAAATAATTAATTTATTTATTTACCAAAATTAATTTAATTGGAAAAACAACTAGCCTAATATTTTTTGTGATTTCGGTTTTAATGTAAAATAAAAAAAACAGTCAATAAAAACAAAAAAAGCATCCTTCGATCAAAGGAAAAAAAGGGAGCTTCGACCCAGGGAAAGAATGGACTTCGATCTGGGAAAAGAAGGAGCTTCGACCCAGGGAGGGAATGGAAGCTTCAATCCAGAGAGGGTCATGGTAGCTTCGATCCACAGAGGGTCATGGTCCTTTCGATTGGGCCAGGAAATGGGCATGAACAACCTTCGATCCAGGGAAGGGGATTACCCTTCAATCCTGGGCAAGATTCCTTCTTCGATCTAGAAGGCCATGGCTTAGATCCAGAGAAGGTGTCTCCTTCGATCTAGGATGTTATACCTGCAAAAGTATGTTAGCGAAATAAAACACAGGGCCTGGGTATCGAATCCCATGCCCTTCGATCCTGCGCGCGCTGGGCCTTTTCAGGCTAAATCTACAGAAAATGTTAGTAAACGAAGAACATGACCTGGGTGCCAAACCCAAGTCCTTTGATTCTGTCTAGGATGGCAAATTGAAGGGGACAAAAAGTAATGATATGTTATGCAAATGTAAAGTTGGACAATTTACCCTTTCTTACCAGCAAATTGGACTTTCGATTTGGGCGCTTCCTGGATGTAGGCACCTTCGATTTGGGCACTTCCTAGATGTAGGTACTTTCGATTTGGGGCTTCTAGGCGTGGATACCTTTGGTTGAATGATTGCTTTGGCTTGGATTCCTTGGAAAATTCTGGCAACCTTT